AAAATGATTGAATAATGCCTTTTGTATTATTCTTTTTTCTTTTTTCTTTTTTTTGTATTTGTAAATGGCAAGAAGACACCAAACATTGTGCCAGTTTTTGTTTCATGGGAACTGGCCCTGTAATTACATATCGCATAAACTAGGGAAAAAAATGACAAGCAATTTCTACCACTTAATTCTGACCTGCTTTCCCACTCAGTTTTAAACCATAGGCACTTTAGAATGTTACACTACTTACAATGTCAAGATGATAAACCAACTTAACACAGGTCATTTGCACGATCGTATGCTCTCAGATAATTTATTACTGTATAGATCAGATAAGCCAAACTTACATAACAGGACAGTAGCCCACAGGCACTCATTCCTTATGGGTTTAATGCCCATAGACTTCATTATGGCCACAGTCTTTATGGGCCAATGCAATTAACTGGCCATTGTCCAAGGTTCACTGCAAGAAACGCACTTCAGATTAACTCAGCTAAATAGCCTATATATTTTAATCATGCATAAGCTTACAGTAAGAGGTAGTGGTAATTTGTCCTTCTGTGAATTTATGACCAAGAAAAAAAAAAAATCGTATGGAGCTGTACTTTTTTGTTATCTTTATATTATTAAGATCTACATTTTAAACCGAAAATATCAGTGTATATGTTGGGGCTAAGAAATTCCAATCAACTCAATAAAAGAAATTTAGTCACAATAGGCTCTGTTCACGCTTGTGTCACGAACCAGGAAGACGTTTGGAAACATGCGATGACAACTTCCTTTGGGCTCTGTTCACGGTAGTTAAGTCTGACAAAATCTTGGTAAAATGAGAAAATGTCCCAGTTTTCTTCATCTACATGTGATTGTAGTGTTCTGTTATGTTCGGCTAATCAACAATTACAGTCATACCTCGGTTTTCATCATTTCCGCAGTGACACACAACTCTGAACACACTGGGTAATTAGAAGAGAAGAGAGCGCCAAATTCTAGATGATTCTTCATTTTACCGTTGATCACATTTACTTCAGTGGGTGTGATCACAGCCGGTTGACGAGCCCAGTGTCAGGAACTACACCGGAAGTTGTCATCACATGTTTCCAAACGTCTTCCTGGTTTGTGACGTAAGCACAAATAGAGCCTATACTAAATTTTCATACTCGACACCAAGAAATAGACTCGACACTCAGTACAAATTCCAATACCACAATGATAATTTTAAATAAAAACACTGTTTATTTAGGTTATATGTGATTGTCAGAATACTTTAAATACTTCACAGCAAGAAGGTTCTGGCTAAGGTAGTCCTGGTCAAACTTAGCAACAAGATCAGAGATGGTTCACTGCTCCTTTACCGAGCCCCAGCGTCAATGAAGGACAAATTTCCCTTCAAGGACAATAAACTGTACCCTACCTGTAGTCGTCCAGATATGTTCTATAGTGGTCCATGGGCATGCACTAGTCTATGCCATCATTTTATTTCGAGTTTGTGCCAAGAGAGAAACAATAACCATATACATAATACATCTACATTGTAAACAACAGAAAAGCACATTTCTCGATGTATCAAAGTAGTATCACTGTAAAACTCTTGTGAATGTGACTTTTTGTTGTTTGCTGAGGACATTCAGGTACTTGGAGTCTTTGCGATTTGCTAATTGTATCTGTTCAAACTGCGTTTTTGATTGCTATTAATCTTGTAATACTCTTGTACCGCTACCGTGTATAGATGAATGGGAGTGAATAAGAAGAATGTCTGTACTGTATATTCCTAGGGTAACCTTCAAACACTAGTATACCTATACATAAACTTCAGTATGGTAAAGCACAAGGTCATTTTTAAGTAGGTAATATCACATACCACAAAATGGCCTTGGATTTTTATGCATTGGTGGAGAGTCTGACACATAATAGAACGCGCTCGCTTTATCTCACAAGTTGAAAGTTCAAAATTTTTCAAGATGTTCCATTTTAATACAATTTCCACTATTTGCCAAGCAGGGCAGTTCTATCAGCTGACTGCAAATGTGGTACCCACTGATAATTTCGATTCTCTCTACGTGATGTGAATTGTAATGGCCAAATCTAGCACTGTATGATTAAGAAAAAAAAAAAAAAAAGCGAGAGAATTGTGAATAGATTTGCGATATATTTTTAAAGGTCCTATATAACGCAAAATCGACTCTTGTGAGCTTTAAGCCATGTTAGAATGCTGTGACCTCATCAAAAACATACCTGGAGTTGTGTTTTGTTTCATTCACAGTAACCCTTTATTATTAGTCTATCAACATCTCCAGAGCTCAACTTGCTCTGTCCCACCTTGTGATGTCATGAAGCAGTAGTTTTCAAATTCACGCCTACTTTTTAACTGAAGTTCAGTAGAGATTGGCAACTCTAGGGCTGAAATTATCCAAATGATTCTAGTGAAGGTGTATGTAGTTTAAAAACACATTGGAGCACTTTTTGTATTACCACATGACATCACAAGGTGGAACAGGGTGATGATAAACTAACACAAGAATCACATGTTTTGCACAAAATGTCTTGCCTCACTACAGATATGTTTTATAAGCATCTTTTGAGATCATAATAAATCTGATGTGTACTGTCTGCATCTAGTTAGAAAGCATTTTATTATCTGATAATCAGGAAGTGCAATTGAGCAAGCTAGTTGTTGTTTGCGTTGCCATCACACCAAAACTCCGCACTGGTCTCTGAGAATTGGGTAAGGTAAGTGAGAAATAACTTTGGACCGCTGCAAATCTTTGAAAGTGTGAATTGACTCATTACCATTGTTGGTATCCTTATGTATTATTGCAATACAGTTATGTTACACTGTATTGTATTGCCAAACTATAACAATTAAATAACTTGATTAAATTGATTAAAACAATTAAATTAAATGACTCTTTGTCCACACTTGTAAATAGTTCATATAGTTTAATGTAAAATGACAAAAAAAATCAAAAGAAAGCTCATTGTGTTTGATTAGAAGAGGGGGGTGGGATTAAATAAGTTTTCTTCTGCCCACTCCTTTCTGGGCCATTTTTTTTTTATTTTTTTTCTTTATTTCTGCTGTGATTTCATTAATGCATTCATGTTATATGTTCTATTGTAAAAGAATGTACATTTCTTACTTGCCCAATACATAAATCCATCGAATCAACTACAAGTACAATAGGATTTTCTATAACATCATACAGTATTTTGTTCATTGTAGAGGACTTTGGTAAAATGGGGGCAAGGTGGGTTAAGTGTCTTGCCAAAGAACACAACGACAGCATTCATCTGTTGGATGGAATCGCATCGCCAACTTGTGACCGCTCAACCATTTCAATGATGTTTACGTCTAGAGCAGGATTCGAACTGTCACCCGTTGGATCAGTGGATAAACTCTACCAAATGCTCTACTGTTTACTTTTTATTATCTAAATAACTGCAGCCTTTGCACTTTGATCATCTCAAGCTAAATTGTGATTGGATTGCGATATATATTGTGTAAGCCCCAGCTGAATCACATGTTTACAAATGGAAATCCAAAAATCAGCCACTGAGGTATAAAACTGCGGCATACGTGACGATGGAAGACCAGAACGGGCTTAGCTTGAGTTGTTTAGCGTTTAGTCACGGAGAGCTGCAGATGGAGGAGAGATTCTTGGACGGAGAAAATTGACTCGACTGTCAGTGCAGGTTTGTGAGGAAAAGAAGGCCATAATCTTTGATAGCACATTGTATCTGCTTATTACTGTAGTATAGGTGGGGAGCTGTGCACAAGGCGTAAGATATAAAAACAGATGGAACCACAGCAAGAAATATTTCAACTGACGCGACGGTGGTGTTTCTGGAGGAGGAACAAGCTAAGACAAGTCTGCAAGATGTTGGATGTAGATAGAAGGTATTATTGGAAACGTACTCACTGGTGTGTGGACTTGTATAGACCATAGACGATGTGCTTGTATATTACACCAGTGGGGGGATTACAATATTGCTTGCAAATAATAAAAGTTGTTTATAGTGTGTAGAAAGTAGTTGTTAAAGTTTGGGTAGAAGTTTGAGTACTTCAGAGTTCTGTAGAGACTTGGAGAGTTAGTGTGTATAATATAATTGTACTACACTGTGTATTCAAGAAGGATTATTTTTTATTATGTGTACTAAAGTCATATTTCACATCATGGAGAAATCTCTAGCTTAAAGGTCATGTAGTATTAATTATTCTATCTTTTTAAACAAAGGAAAATAAGAAATAGCCTTGGCATTTTCTGGAGTACATGTTTATAAAATGGGTGTCTTGAAAAATACTTAGCTCCAGTTGATATGAAAGCTATCGATACAGAATGTGAGCACAGGGTCATAATAGCACTGGCACTGTTTTTCGAGGTATTTCTGACCAATAAAAGCACATATAATTGAGTAAATGTAAATGGTTGCTGCATTTAATGTGCCTGCGATCCAGAATACACACGTCTTCAGCACTTTACAAAGATGTGAGTTCAGATGTGCATGATTGACAGGTGGATTAACCAATAAGGGACATGCATGGGCCATTCATATCTAAACAAATATGGCTGCGCATGAAGAAAAAAGAAAAGAATAAAATATATAACACAAGGTACTAAAAAACGTCGCGAACATGAGCGAAGCACTAAACTCTACGCATTGCATTTTTATACGATGCTTTTCCACCTTCAAGGCACTAAAAGCACTTTGCATCCATTCAGACACACATTCGCACACCGGTGTACACAGACACTAGAGGCAAAGTGGGTTAAGTGTCTTTTCCAAGGACACACCAACAACAATCTTCTGTGGCAGCTGGAATCGCAGCGGCAACCTTCGGATCAGTGGACAAACACTCTACCAACTGAGCGACTGTCGCCCATAATCTGATTGCGCATCCTCCACCGAAAAAGTTACATAGCGCACCTTTATCTCATGTTTTGTATTGGCTGAATGCTATACTTGTCCTCTATCTTTTCTTCGGCACAAATCTAACCCATTTCCTCTCTGTGTTGCAGGGTGCGTACGTTCCCCAAGGACTCGGCCGGGCTTCTGGGCAGAGACACAGTGCGCGCTCTCATGTACTACGCCTTAAAGGTGTGGAGTGACATCGCCCCTCTCAACTTCCATGAGGTGGCGGGCAGCGACGCAGACATCCAGATCGACTTCACTAAAGCCGACCACAACGACGGGTACCCCTTCGATGGACCCGGGGGCACGGTGGCACACGCCTTCTTCCCCGGAGAGAGGTTCACGGCCGGAGACACGCACTTTGACGATGACGAGGCCTGGACCTTCAGATCACCAGGTATGGATGAATGGATGAAGATAACACATGTTCTCAGCTAGTTTGAATGGAGATTACTGTATTTTTGTTTTTACTTTAATAGACTAGAACAATTGATAGCTAATGTCAATTATACACAATAAATCAATGAATCTGCCCAGGGACGACAGGTGGAAATTAGCACTGGCGCTACAACCTGGTACAATGCATCTCTCCTGTTAAGGTTAATGTAAATTGTGCACTGTCCCTGTCTCATTAAATAAATAAATAAATAAATAAATAGACTATTGTTTTAAAATAGAATTCATGGTACAGTTTACATTTGTATTCAGATCTCTCAGTGCTATTATGCTGCTGGCACGTTACCAATCAAAACAATATAAACCCTGATAATATTTTTAAGTATAAATTGGTTTAAATGGAGCAGCAGTTGTTCTAGTGCAAACTGTTGTTGTGCTCTTATGCAAGACCCACGTTGCCTATAGCATGAACACAGTGTGTGAGTGGCTGGAGGGGATTATGGCCCAGATTGGCTGCTTTGCTTACATGAGTCTACCCCAGGGCAGCTGTGACTACAGTAGTATCTTACCACCACCAGTTTGGAATGAATGAATGAATTCACAAAATTGTAAAGCAATTATTTTGTCTTACTAAATCCTTTTATTTTCTAATATTTAATAAGAAGATTAATTTTGTATTCCGAGTTTTGTCTTATTTGAATTTGCATCCTCTAGCATGAATCGCAAGCTGCAATCTGTTTAGTAAACAGTACAATTAATGGTCAAGAAGTGCGCCAACAGAATTTAAATCCTTCTAAAGCTCTCTTGATATGTTTGAATTCATCTGCTGGTTCACCACCCCTCCTCACTAACCCTAAATGAAGATAATTGGCCCATTCAAATGCAGCCACTTGACTGCCTGAAAAGCAGCCGCCTCTGTTTGCATTCTAAACAGCTAAAGTCAATTTTGTCAACCCTTCATCACACCCACCAGCTCCGATCATTTCCATAGTAAATATTATGTTTCTTCCTCTTCCTCTCTTCTCTAGTTAACTCTAGTGGGAGTTAACTTTGCCTGGATTCTACCCTGAGCACAGATGCTTATTGTCCATTTGGTTTGAGTGTGTTTTTGCTGTGCACTATGTGGGATAATAGATCAGTTTTAGCTGCACTATCTTCAATGATCTGGCCAAATTTCTTTCATCAAAACAGCTTTCACAGCATCTGATTACCCAGCAAGGGAGATGTGAGGGTTGGAGAAAGGAGGACAGCACAGCAGAAGCCCTAAATGGGATTCAATCAGCTCTGCCAATCAAAAATAGATAAGCTCATATTAGAAGTATCCGTCATTCTTAGACAGCAATGAAAAACACAAAGGAACGCAATCGTAGTTTTGGTCTTGGAAAGAATTTGGTCACGTGGGGGATACTGTCTTTCTCTCTGCTTGAGCATTTAAATGGATCATATTTGGGCTTTATTGAAGTTTGTGTCTATGCTTGTTGTAATTTTATAAAGGTTGTTTCCTTATCTAAAATTGCAGAAAATTCAAAAATTCTGTTTGTTTCACACAGAGTTCTTATGTATTAAAAAGGGGTATTATACTAAATCGAGCTATTGAGCTTTTTACCATGTTAAAACATTGTTCCCTTAGCAAAACCATGTCTGAAGAGGTTTTAGGTGTCATCCATTCATGTTTGAGTAATTTAGTTATCTTTTCCTCCATATAAGTATGTAAGATTCTGTAAGAATTTGTCCAATGGTCCGTCCACAAGCCTAAGTTAACCCATGTTCCCACAAGACAATTCTCTATAAATATATAAAAACATGATACAAAATGTACACAACAACTTGACAAAGCTGATGTGATGAGCCCACTCAAAGAATTTCAATTTGTTTTTGTTTTTTTAGCAACAATAACACCTGTAAATGCAAGAAGGCCATCTGTGAAGAGGGAAGCATACTCAACGCATTCATGTTTTTCAACAACATTTCCATAGAGACGAGCTCCTTATCAGAAAAGTTACATAATGCACATTTGTCCAGAGAAATTAATTAAAAAGAATAGACACTGCATATGTATTCTCCTTTAATTAGCAAGTTCCGCCACTGGCAGACTACTCAACAGTGATATTAATTACTTTTTCTCAACACAGAAAGCAGACTTAGTGAATGAAATCTCCCAGTGACACCAAATGACCACATTCAAGACCCCGCTCATAAGTTAGTAATTTCACTTTCCTTTCAAGGCCCTTTCTTCACCAAATCACTTGGGCAAAAATCGTGTGGTATTTTTTGAGTCATATGACAGGTTAGACTACTAATTTCACTAAAATAAAGTGAAATAATTGACTAAAACTTTTTCCCTCTCATTTGACAATTGCTGGTTTTACTTGGTAGGACATGGACAGTAGATGTAATACATAGAGCTCTGATTGAGTCACATAGAATGACCATATAGACTCATGTTAAACTAATGTTAAGCCAAATTTAAGGTGCTACTAGTACCTACCAAACATATCAGAAAAGTCAAACCAGTCTTAGTGAATGAAATCTCCCAGTGACACCAAATTATTACATTCAAGACCCCACTTATACGTTATTCATTTCACTGTCCTTCCACTGCTCTTTCTTCAAATATTTTGCCATATTTTGTAGAAGCATATGACATTTTACTTACTTTACTCATTTTACCACAACAGAATTAAGATAATTACATGTAAATTTCATTCTCCCTAGGCAGCAGATGTGCTACATAGAGCTCTGATCGTGTTGTCACTCCTCATAGAATTATCATTTAGCCTAATGGTAAACCAATGGAGATTTAACAACATTAAGATTTAATTGCTATCAAAAAAGCAAAAGCCGTCTTGGTGAAAAGAAATCTCACAAATGGCCACATTAAAGACCCTGCTCATAAGTTATTTATTTCACTTACCTCCCAGTGCCCTTTCTCTGTTCAGAGTGCAGATTGTAAATAACTCAGGGAGCATTAACATTTGAGAGACTGAAATATGAACTGATGAACTCATCTTGAAAAATCCCATGGAGTTCCAAACACAATACGATTTTTAGAAAGCCAGAATATTTTGTGAAATTTCATAATTATGCTTACTCAAATTGTTATTTTGATTTGACTGCAATATAGAGTATTGTGCTAGCCAGGCTGGCGCCACCTAGTGCCTCCTCTCAGTTTCGTTTCTCTCCAGTGACTACGTCAGGAATTGGAATACACTAAACGGTTCGCAAAAACTCCAGAAGGGTGAGTTCGGGCACCAGCCAATCAGTGAAGAGCCATACATTCTGTGTTGGCAACGATTCCCGAGATCAAGGATTTAAAGCTGAAAAAAAAAGAATGGTCAGTGAATTTTATCAAGGGGAAAGATGTTATTGACCTTCTTCCTACGTGATTTGGGAAAAGCTTTATATCCCAGTTAGCCCCCTTAGCGGCGACCAACTAGCAGTGATTGGTTAAATGAAAAAACGTACCCACCTACTGTCGAGCAAATGAATTCTAACGCTGCAAGGTCAGATGGTTTCTACAAAGTGAAACTGGCTGATGAATCAGGCTAGTATTGTGCAGCCCTACTCCTCATAGACAGTAGCTCATTTGGTAGATTGATTGTCCACTGATTCAAAGGTTGGTGGTTCGAATCCCGCTTTTGATACAAACAACATTGGTTGAGCAGTTCATCTAGATCAGTGGTGTCCTTGGGCATGTATGAATGTGTGTAAATGGGTAAGTGGTTCCTTCATTTCAAATGCTTTGAGTGCCTTCAAAGTGGAAAAGCTCTAGATAAAAATCTGACTATTCACCATCAAATTATTATTCAGCCTAATGTTAAACCAATGGAGACTTTGAGATGCTAAATACCAAAGTTATCAAAAACCTAAAGAACTCTTAGAGAACAAAATCTCCCAGTGACACTAAATTATCACATTCGAGACTCCGCTCATAAGTTATTAATTTCACTTTCCACTGCCCTTTCTTCATCTTTGCCCATCATTGCGGAGGGGAGGTGTGGGAGGAGCCCTGATGTGTGGTGTGGGTGTCTCATGTCCACTCATCCACACAAAATGGAGCGATCGGGTGGCGCTGAATGCATGGTTGCCCGGCTGTCTCAAAGCGGTCGTACAAATGACAACATAAATCATCAGGTCTTCTTCTCTCTTTATTCTTCCCCTCGTCCGGATGACTGGACTTCAAATGACCTTCCTCTCTCCTTTGCCCGCCCCATCCATCTCATCCCTCCTTCACAAGAGACGGATGGATGGAGGAAAAGAGCGAAGAACGGGGGATGAAAAGAAAGACGGCGCGTGATTTGGTGCTTGGTAGAGACAGTCCCTTGGGTTGCTAAAGTCATTGAGGTTGTCTTTAGACTTGGCTGCGTTTGTGAAAGTGCAAGTATTGTTCAGGAGCCAAATTTTAATAAGTTTCATTGAGCTTTGGTGATAAGGCAATTGTTTGAAGGTGTAATCCTTTATGAATTGGCGTCGCACACAGAGACCCCGTGAACTATTCGCACAGAGTAAAAGCAGGCACATCAATCACAGCCCGGCGTGCAGCTTTAAGAGAAATAAGAGCTGCAAAATATATTGTGCTAAAAGAAGATGGGAAAATGTTCTGTATTCACATGATTGGTTAGTTGTTCTTTACTATATACACAGGCTAACTGGTATATTAAGCTTTTCCCAAATCCCGTAGGAAAAAGGGCAATAACGTCTTTCCCCTTGATAAAATTCACCAAACAATCTTTTTATTACGGCTTTAAATCATCGACCTCAGGATTGGCTGGTCCCCGACCTCACACTTCCGGGGTTTTTGTGAACCGTCTAGTGTATTCCGATTCCTGACCTAGACACTAAAGAGAAATGAAATTGAGCGGAGTCACAGTAGCTCCTGGAAATCCTTACAGGGCCCATATTGCAGTATGCTGTTTTCTGATTTATGTTATATTGTTGTTTCCTTATCATAAACATACCTAGAGTTGTGTTTTGTTTCATTCACGTTTAACACACAAACCC